ACCTTCTTTGTGCTCCCAGGAATGACCTCATTTGACGGAATTATAGGGGACGATACATTTAGGGATATCGGTGCGATAGTGGACAGAAAATCTAATATTCTAAAGGTTAACGAATTTAAAATCCCGCTGAAGGCTCGCGTATCCACCCAAGTGAATTATATCTTGTCTAAGGACATCCCTGTTGAAACGGAGGAAAAAGTGAACAAATTAGTAGCTATATTTAGCAACCTTTTCCTACCTATTAATGGGAAGGAATTAGTAGACACTTGCGTACGCGCAGAAATTAAAACGCCAACTTCTGAACCTGTTTATAGCAAAAGCTATCCTTATCCTTCTTGCATGAGAGAAGAGGTCGACCGGCAGGTGAACGAATTGCTGCAAGAGGAGGTTATCCGACCATCAAAGAGTCCATACAACTCTCCTATTTGGGTGGTTCCTAAGAAACCTAAACCAAATGGGGAGAAACAGTACCGTATGATAATTGACTACAAAAGGCTTAACGCTGTAACGATTCCCGACACCAATCCTATCCCTGACATAAACGCTACTTTATGTAGCCTTGGCAACTCACGTTACTTCACGACCATTGACTTAACTTCTGGGTTCCACCAAACCCCTATGAAGGAATCCGACATATCTAAGACTGCTTTTGCGACCATGAACGGTAAATACAAATTTTTGAGATTGCCTTTTGGCCTCAAGAACGCGCCAGCCATCTTCCAGCGTATGATCGACGATGTACTGAAACAATATATCGGTAAAATCTGCTATGTGTATATCGACGATATCACTGTGTTTGGTACGGATGCTGACGATCATTTGAAGAATGTCGCAATGGTATTTTCTCGATTGTTGGAATCCAATCTAAAAGTGAATTTAGAAAAAAACCTGCTTCCTGCAAACTGAAGTTGAATTTTTGGGGTACATCATTACTCCCGAAGGAGTTCGTCCTGACCCATAAAAGGTTGAAGCTATGAATTTAATTTTTCCACCATGCAATTTGAAAGATCTGAAAAGTATTTTGGGAATGACCTCCTACTATCGGAAGTTCGTTCATGACTACGCAAAAATAGCTAAGCCATTGACAAATCTAACGCGCGGGAAAAATGCACAAATAAAAGCCAGTGCATCGAGGAAGGTAGCAATACAACTTGACAGTGCGGCTTTGCAAGTCTTCGATGACCTAAAACGTATGCTAACTTCCGCTGATGTCCTGGCATTTCCGGATTTTGGTAAGCCTTTTATTTGACCACTGATGCGTCGAAATACGCAATCGGTGCAGTTCTATCCCAGGGGGATATAGGTGTGGACAAACCAATTGCTTATATTTCTCGTTCTCTGAACAAGGCCGAGGAAAACTATGCCACGAATGAAAAGGAGATGCTAGCCATAGTGTGGGCATTAGATAATTTGAGGTCGTATTTGTACGGTGCCAAAAAGATAAGAATATATACTGATCACCAACCATTAACATTTTCCTTAAGCTGTCGCAATTATAATGCAAGACTAAAGAGGTGGAAAGCACGCATCGAAGAATATGCTTTTTCCCGTCTTAAGACCGAACTCAACGCCTTAACGGATTCTGTGGTGGCTCAACCGTCAGGAAGCGAAATAGGATATAGTGATGAGGTTGCAACAATGCACTCCGCTGAACAGGATAATTCCGATCTTATACCACACGTCGAGGCCCCCATAAACGTCTTTAGGAATCAGGTGATATTTAGAGTAGGTCAGGAATCTCGATGCCATGAGCAACAGCATCATGGCTACCGCAGATATTTTATTTCTTTACCAAATATCAACAGTTGAAACGTTATTCCAATTCTCAAAGAATGCCTTAATCCTAATGTTATAAATGGCATACAAATTCCTGAGGAATTTCTCCAATTATTACAGGATAATTCCGATCTTATACCACACGTCGCGGCCCCCATAAACGTCTTTAGGAATCAGGTGATATTTAGAGTAGGTCAGGAATCTCGATGCCATGAGCAACAGCATCATGGCTACCGCAGATATTTTATTTCTTTACCAAATATCAACAGTTGAAACGTTATTCCAATTCTCAAAGAATGCCTTAATCCTAATGTTATAAATGGCATACAAATTCCTGAGGAATTTCTCCAATTATTGCAGGATAATTCCGATCTTATACCACACGTCGCGGCCCCCATAAACGTCTTTAGGAATCAGGTGATATTTAGAGTAGGTCAGGAATCTCGATGCCATGAGCAACAGCATCATGGCTACCGCAGATATTTTATTTCTTTACCAAATATCAACAGTTGAAACGTTATTCCAATTCTCAAAGAATGCCTTAATCCTAATGTTATAAATGGCATACAAATTCCTGAGGAATTTCTCCAATTATTGCAGGATAATTCCGATCTTATACCACACGTCGAGGCCCCCATAAACGTCTTTAGGAATCAGGTGATATTTAGAGTAGGTCAGGAATCTCGATGCCATGAGCAACAGCATCATGGCTACCGCAGATATTTTATTTCTTTACCAAATATCAACAGTTGAAACGTTATTCCAATTCTCAAAGAATGCCTTAATCCTAATGTTATAAATGGCATACAAATTCCTGAGGAATTTCTCCAATTATTGGACGTGTATGCTAATAATTTCCACAGGTATAGGATCAGGATAACTCAGCGCCTAGTGGAAGACCTGACCATCCCTGATAGAATTTTTGATACAATCGAGGAAGAGTATCGCAGAGCCCACAGGAATCCGAAGGAAAATAGAGAAAATAGAAGTACTACTTTCCAGGTATGTCAAAACAAATTAGGGATTATGTTAGGCAGTGCGAAGTGTGTAAGCTTAATAAATATGACAGGCATCCGGCTAAGCCTCACCTCCAGCCGACACCGATTCCCAGCTATCCAGCTATCCATGCGAGATCATTCACATGGATATTTTTGAGATTGAAAAACAGAAGTTTCTGAGCTGTGTAGACAAGTTTTCAAAATTCGCAAAATTATTCGCTATCACGAATAAGTCGTCCATTTATATCCGAAGGAAACTTACTGAAGTTTTACATTATTTTTCCGTGCCAAAAATCTTGGTCATGGACAATGAGAGGGGATTCCTAACTCCACTCGTTCTCAATTGCATTAGATCTCTCGGGATTGAAATTTACCAGACGCCCACACAACGGAGTAAAGCCAATAACCAGGTAGAAAGGTTACTTTCAACCTTGATTGAAATTAATCGGTGCATATCTAACGACTTTCCTAGGATGACTCCCAAAGAGAGGGTAGCGATAGTCGTAGATAGGTACAACAATACCATCCATTCCATAACAAAAAGGAAACCGGTAGATATATTCTTTAACAGAACAGCTAGGGTAAACTACCAAGGTTTAAGGGACTTTAGGGATCAAACGCATGAGAATATAAAAGCTTTGTTACTATGAAATGCAAGGATCAATTCAAAACGCTCGCCACCCAAAGAATATAATAGTGGCGATACTCTGTTCATAGTAAACAGACAAATAAAGGGGAAACAAAAGCCTCTATTTAAAAAAGAAACAATCGCAGAAAATAGAAATGCGACAATAGTAACTGAAAGTGGCGAAAAATTCCACAAAGCAGATATAAAAAATGTGTAAGATAACATTAGACAAAAGGTTAATAAGAAGCTTAAGGGCCGTTTTCTAATGTAAGCAGTAAAGTTGCCTTTACTAACAGGGCAGATAAATTGTTCCTCAATTTAAAGTGTTTTCGTTTTCTTACCTTGCCGGTAAAAATAAATTTGTTATTCCGTAGAGTGAAACTTCACTACATTTCCGAGAGTGAAACTTCACTACATTCGTCATAAAATTTCAAAGGTTGGCAATGCAACATAAGAAAATATAGAGCAAGAGCAACTGTTAGCAAAAACCAAAACCTTGGTTGGAATATCTAATATATCTGGCTCATGAACCAAAACCAAACCAAAATTTAAAGTTGGGTACAAATTTTTGAAGTTGCATCGGGTGAGCAACAGTTTATCGATTCGAGAAATTAATGCGCTGATGAGAAAACGAAAACTCGTATATCGAGACGATAAAGTAGCCGGTAAACTAACGGTTAGATGAGAAAACGGCCCTAAGATTACTAGAATACGGCGGTTCGGAATGCAAGCGTTTATGCGTTTGTAGTCGATGAAGTCATAGTGGTTCAATTCCACCTCGCTCAGTGGTGTGAGATGGCAGATTTGAGGTGGTTCAACTCCCCACGGTAATCTTCTGCTTATTTGCGTGAAGCCACCCGTGCCATGAGTAGGTCATTTGCAATTATAAACGCTTATGACTAAAAGGGACCAACGCGGACCTTCCATAGGCAAATAATACCTATAGTCCGATGCAAAAAACCATAAATACACATTCTGCTAAATAAGTACGCAAAAGTAACAAATATATACAAAAATAATCTCGCGCAGAAGCGCCAAAAAATAAAAAATTTAACGAAGAATAACAGAACATGCAAATACGATGCAAATACAAAACAAAAAATAAATAAAAAATAAAAAAAAGAGAAAGTGAATTCTCACAAAACAAGGGGAAAAAAGATTGCCTGAAATTTATTACTACAATTAACTTTCATTTTTCGCATTAACCACTTACCACTAATTAATAAACAATTAACATAATTAACTACTTCACTACTGGGTTCCCTAAGAAAATAAACAATAACAAAAAAACATGCAAATCTCTCAATTCTATCACTACTCACCCCATGCAACTCAAAACTAGAATAAGGATCTTAGGTTAATTAAAAACATAAAGTTAGATAACTAGTTAAATGAGTAGAATAGTTAAGAGAAAAAGGATATGATTAAGACGAAATTTAGAATTAAGACGTTGAGTAGAATAAAAAATATAATAATGTAAAAAGGATATGGCTAAGACGAATTTTAGAATTAAGACTTTGAATTGTATAGAGTCACTATTATATCGTGGGTATGGGTAATAAACCATTAGTAGACTAATGTATTAATCTCATCCGTAGCACGTGCCTCTGCGCCGTTGCGCATTCATATGACCTATTCAAGATAGACACCCCTAGTAACCATACGAGATGGGTATGGATGGATCATCGATGGACACTTCAATCTAATTCGTGTGGTAACAAATCGGCTCGAGTGGGCAATAACTACCTTAAACGAAACAACAGCATCTACAGAGGTACTACTATTCCAGCTAGGCAGAATCCGCACACGTTTAAACGAACTAAGAGGTCACGAGACGGCTAGATTAAAACGTTCTATTAACTGGATTGGGTCAGCTTGGAAATGGATTGCTGGCTCACCTGATGCTACGGACTGGGATGAGGTCCTCCGAAACGAAAATTCCCTTAATAAAAACAGCGAGCAGCAGTACAAGGTGAATGATGAAATTTTTAAGAAAACTAATCAGTTATTGCAGAGGCTCAATGGCATTGTGGGCGCCACCAATGATGTGATCAACAAGAGGAACTTGGAGAGGATTTTTCAAGAAGTCCAGCATAAAATCTTTATCTTGAACGAAGACGTCAACGAACTGATCCGTGCTTGTCAGATGGCTAAAGCAAGAGTCGTCAACACCAATCTTCAGGGTATAGAGGAAGTTAACCAACTTGTCAGTGAGATCGACGTTCTTCCATACAGCAACGCCATCGAAACCATTGAATATAGCAAACCATCGATTTACACCAACAACACACTCCTCTTATACGTGTTGTCCCAACCAAAGGTCACAGAAGCTAGATTTAATCACCTGATCGCAAGAGCTAACATACAGAACGGCGTCCGAGTGGAATTGGCATATCAAACAATCCTGACCAATAAACATCAGACATTCGGCATCAAGGAACACTGCTTGCAATTATCTGCTACCATGATCTGCGAAGGGAAATCACTCGACCTGCTACCAGAATCTAGTTGCCTAACTCGTCTTCTCAAGGGAGGACAAACCAGTTGTACTTACGCTACCTGTAACGATTCCTCTGTTGAAATCATCAAGGATGATACCAGTTTCCTTAACAATTTTATAGGGATTGTAAAATCAGGTAACAATTCAAATACACATAATGCTTCTTATATCCTCCAGATGGACAATGAAACCGTAGCAATCAATGGCAAAAACTACTCGAGTACTAGTAGATCAGGAGTACAGGTGCTTCCACCAATCTTGGCCAGCGTCACCAAACGCAGTCTCGTAATGAACTTTAACCTAATACACGGGATGATAGCTCATAATATCAAGCTCCTGGGATACCTCAAGGAGAAAACCAATTGGTTTGCATTCACCGAAGGTTTGGTGTTAGTCATACTAATGTTATCCCTTTGGCACATTTGGAGAAGGATTACGGCGAAGATACACCTACCTGCATTGAACATTGACAACAAGGCTAATCCAAAAACCGAGGAACGTCCATCTTATCTGCGGGACGCAGATCTTTAAAGGGGGAGGAGTTAACACATCCGCCGTCACCCAACATGTTGCATTCCCACAGTCCAGCAATACACGTGCACCATGTCAGCATAATTATGGTTCACAACATAATTGACATCCTACACCTTTGTCAAGGCCAAGTGCCTTTCATCATATCATGCAATAGCAATATTGTGCAACGCTATCAGACACCTATGGCAACCTTCGGCCACAGTTAGTACCTCTGGCCAATGCTTACGCAACTATTAGTATAACGGAGCCAATGCATTAGGCATTGCAGCGGTGTCAGCTTAATTTCATTTCACACGGTTGTGAAATCAGTGTGTTGCATATTTTAAGTTACCTGTGGGAATTCAAGGTCAAGGCGGCTCACTGACGTCGCGTATGTCTGGCTATAGAACAACGGCAGCGGAGCAGGTTATAAAGGGCGGCAGAACTCGGAGCAGCGGCAGTTGCATCGGGGTGTTACTATAGTCAATTAGGCTTATTTATTTATCTCAATAAAGTACTTTTATTATAACGTTCAAATTACCTCTTTTAATTCCAGGGCAAGGTGGCCCTTAAATTTTTTTAGTTATTCAGGACCTTCAGTCCTTAACTTACATATATTATTTTTGTATGAAAGCAAAGCTGATTACTTAACGAACACCATATAAATCCAAATTTCCAAAAAATGGTATGCGGTTTTGTTGGGCATTAAATTTTAGAATAATAGGCTAAGGTTTTTTTTCTCGTAAAAAACTATGTACGCCAATTTTTTATATGGAATACATATATATGTACCGTTCAATCAAAGAGACTTTAAAAGGTTTGACTTTGAATGAATTAAAAAATAACCAGTTTCTCCTGAAAATGTTTATATTTTTATTAAGTTTCTATTAAAAGGGTATCTTGAACTATATCTATGGATAGTTAAACGTTAAAATATTGTTTGGGATCCCATGAAATGTTGCTTTAAAGGGAATAGGCCCTTCTCCCGGCTTAGGCTACTTTAATTGAACGACTCAGATATGCAAATAAAAAAGTTCGTTTCGTTATTTATAAGAAAAAATATCAGAAAAAAGTCGTTTGGTTGTTAAAAAAAAAATTTAGTAAAAAAAATTCTTTTCGTTGATTAACAAAAAAAAAATATATCATTGTAGTTCTCAAGAAACATCACGAGAAACATATTTTCAGTATTTCTGATGCTAGAAAATAATTTTGCGGTTGCTGTAAATTTTCTTGAAGATATAAGTATATCTTCGCTACCATTCCAAACTATCGAATGTGCAAAACTGCTTTTTGATTTACGATACCTTGCGCATGCGTTTAGAATGATACGCAAGTTGGCAAATCGTCAAATTTCTAGTCTTCTTAGAAACAGAGGATACTGGCTTTAACAAAATGTCGAATCCCATACTTTTGTCTAATGACAACAATATTTTTTACAACAGTTTCTTTGCTCTCCTGAAAAGTGCAGAATTTCACATTCGATAGTATGACATGGTAGCGACGAGATGTACGAGCATTTTTTTCTTAAGAGCTGCATACTGATTTAATACATTTTTTATAGCAGCAAATTTATTTTCCATTTATTGTGCCTAATTTATTGTGCCTAATTTTATATGAATTTTTAGTTTTTCTTGAGAGCCTTTACAAATAAAAAAATTTCGGAATATGTACATATGTACATACATATGCAGCCATATAACTTGATTTCAAGAGAAACGAATTTTCATTGATAACTTTTTTTTGATAACACTGTGCGACAGCTCAAATCGGTATTGAGCAAAACCAAATGCAAATGATAGTTTTTGAATTTCATTGAGTTTTTTTTTAAATAAATACTGAAGTTAGAGGTGTATGTATATTTAAAAAAATCAGTCGCGATGCGTTGTATACATACATAAGTACATATGTACATATGTATCTGGACTCACAAATCGGATTTTACGATTATAGTTGTCTGCATAACCCAATGGCGAAAGAAAAACTTTATCCGATTTTTTTTAAATCGAAACTACATTTTTACATACATTGTACATACATGCACACATAAATATATTTAATATGAAATTGATATTTTCACATCAATTTCCGCAATCTTCAAACCCATGGTTTCAATTGTACGCATTTCGTCAGGGTTTTCCCAACAACTTGGTTTTGCTGCAGTGAAGCGACAGAGCAAGTGACGAGAAAAAATATATGCGGAAACTTATATATGAATATATGCACATATGTATCTATGCACATACGTATCTATGCACATATGTACATATTTATGCACACATCNATGGATAGTTAAACGTTAAAATATTGTTTGGGATCCCATGAAATGTTGCTTTAAAGGGAATAGGCCCTTCTCCCGGCTTAGGCTACTTTAATTGAACGACTCAGATATGCAAATAAAAAAGTTCGTTTCGTTATTTATAAGAAAAAATATCAGAAAAAAGTCGTTTGGTTGTTAAAAAAAAAATTTAGTAAAAAAAATTCTTTTCGTTGATTAACAAAAAAAAAATATATCATTGTAGTTCTCAAGAAACATCACGAGAAACATATTTTCAGTATTTCTGATGCTAGAAAATAATTTTGCGGTTGCTGTAAATTTTCTTGAAGATATAAGTATATCTTCGCTACCATTCCAAACTATCGAATGTGCAAAACTGCTTTTTGATTTACGATACCTTGCGCATGCGTTTAGAATGATACGCAAGTTGGCAAATCGTCAAATTTCTAGTCTTCTTAGAAGCAGAGGATACTGGCTTTAACAAAATGTCGAATCCCATACTTTTGTCTAATGACAACAATATTTTTTACAACAGTTTCTTTGCTCTCCTGAAAAGTGCAGAATTTCACATTCGATAGTATGACATGGTAGCGACGAGATGTACGAGCATTTTTTTCTTAAGAGCTGCATACTGATTTAATACATTTTTTATAGCAGCAAATTTATTTTCCATTTATTGTGCCTAATTTATTGTGCCTAATTTTATATGAATTTTTAGTTTTTCTTGAGAGCCTTTACAAATAAAAAAATTTCGGAATATGTACATATGTACATACATATGCAGCCATATAACTTGATTTCAAGAGAAACGAATTTTCATTGATAACTTTTTTTTGATAACACTGTGCGACAGCTCAAATCGGTATTGAGCAAAACCAAATGCAAATGATAGTTTTTGAATTTCATTGAGTTTTTTTTTAAATAAATACTGAAGTTAGAGGTGTATGTATATTTAAAAAAATCAGTCGCGATGCGTTGTATACATACATAAGTACATATGTACATATGTATCTGGACTCACAAATCGGATTTTACGATTATAGTTGTCTGCATAACCCAATGGCGAAAGAAAAACTTTATCCGATTTTTTTTAAATCGAAACTACATTTTTACATACATTGTACATACATGCACACATAAATATATTTAATATGAAATTGATATTTTCACATCAATTTCCGCAATCTTCAAACCCATGGTTTCAATTGTACGCATTTCGTCAGGGTTTTCCCAACAACTTGGTTTTGCTGCAGTGAAGCGACAGAGCAAGTGACGAGAAAAAATATATGCGGAAACTTATATATGAATATATGCACATATGTATCTATGCACATACGTATCTATGCACATATGTACATATTTATGCACACATCCATATGTACTTATGTGTGTATATCAGCATTTTAGTTGAAAGTACCCCTGAAGGAAAGATTGGTCCAATTGCTCGAAAAATATAGTCGTAGGTATAGTAGCTTTGTATCTAGACCAAAGATAGTCAAAAATATAAAGCAATGTAATGTAAACCAGGTGGATTGCACTAAAAGTGGTCCGAATGTAATGCATAAGGTGTGAGTTTTGATCTAAAACTGGTTACAATGTCATGCAGTGGCGGGCAACGGGTACAATTAACGACTTGCTGATATGTAGGCACTTCGGCTGTGTGCGAGTTGACCTAAATTTTAGTACCTAAACTAATATTCCACTGGAAATTTCCAGCACTGCTACAATTTAGGAAAACAGCTGCTAAAACTGTGCGAGTTCGTTTGACAACATAAATTATTTGTTTTGAAATTTGAATTTGTTTGCTTTTAATAAATAAATCCATAAAATGAATAATTTTGTGGTAGCTTTGGGACTATTTAACAATATAATAAATTTGCAACAGAAAAGGAGAATGCTCCATCCTGTCATCTATAAAAGAATCCGTTTGCTCTTCTGACCCTGCGAAATAATATATATCCATCCAATTACATATATACTTATCTGAATGCAAAAATCAAATAAAATAATACACTTACATCTTTCTGAATATTTTCTTTTTTGTGCCATAGCACAACATCAAAAAATCGTTGTTCATTTAATCGCTCGCTCAAATATATTTGACTGTTCAATTTAGGTTGAAAATTATGCTCGCAGAAAATCTAAATTGTTCCTACTCACTGCGTTACCGACACTTTCCAGTGATTTAGAATTTTTCTCTATTTAGGTAGCAATTTAGACGTACTCGCACACAGCCTTAGTCAACAAATTTTCATGAGCGACATTGGCATGAAGAGATAGTATCCGCTTAGAAAATCTGAGAACCCCGGTTCGAATCGCTGCTGGCGCCAGTTTTATTTTTGTTTTTTTTCCCCCAAAGTTGATTACAATGTAATGCAGAGGCGGACAATCGGTCCGAGCCTAGGACATTCAATGTTAAATGTAAATAGAATTTTACATGTTGTTGGACTAGTTACAACCACTTGCGGTCTACTTTGTGGTGTGCTCGCTCTAAGTCTATTCCGAGATCCTACAGGGACGTTTTGCTCGTCGCTCTCTTCATCGCTCCACTACATTCCTGTCCATGGTTTTATTCAGATACCACAAATGTATGTTTTCTTCGAAAATACTCAAGTACTACCAGCAGAGTACTCTACTTGCAAATACCTTTTTGTTTATTGTTTATTGTTTATTCAGATTATTCAGTCTATGATTACAATCTTACAGACTAGATAAAAATAAGACTATCGTTATTAAAACTAAATACTATAGATTTAGATACACAAGTAGTTAAAAGAAAAATGAATCAATGGATGACTTGAAAATATTTCTCGGCAACGAAAAATCAATATTTAGACTCTTTGAGATCTTGTTAAATTCTGTCAAAGCGCGAAAAATCTGATCAAAATGGTAATAGTTAGCTTTAGTAGCACGCAAGTACAACGGCAGAGATAAGCGTAGAAATCTGTGAGGCACATTAAAGGATATCTTCTCCAGAAGGATCGAACAATCCAAAGAGCCAACAACCAAATCAAAAACGAACATGAGCAACCGGACAATTCTTCTAGTTTCAAGAGTTTGTAGGTGAATAATGGCCGTTTTATGAATGGCGACTGGTGTCTAGTTGCCGGTCTAGTAGCCGTGGCTACCACTATCGTACTTTGTATTACGTATAGCGATTGATCTCAGTATACAGAAAAACGAAGAAAACATCTCTGAGTTTGCTTTTTTGACATGTACATTTCGAAGTAATTGGCAACTTTGCTCCAATGTGTTTGACAATTAATGTAAACAAATAAAAAAATCGTCACAAGTGGGAAACATTTGTTTATAAAAATAAAGAAACCAGAATGATCAGCAGCTATGAGTTATTTTTCGCGACTCGGGAAGAGTGTGCAAACGTTGCTCTAATACGGCGTCACATAAGGGATCGATCCAATCCTTTGGATCTACCAGTTGTTAAGTAAGTTAAAAAATCGTAATGTAGATATTCCTTTAACATATCTATACCTCCAGGTTCGTAAGCAATTTTCGGATATCAAAAGAAGCATTTGTTTATTTGTTGGAGGAACTATCCCCTCATTTCAAAAGCAACTTTCGGTCAACTGCGGTACCTCCAATCCTGAAACTCTGCGCAGCGCTCCGTTTCTTTGCGGAAGGGAGTTATCAAAAATGCCAAGGGAATGATTTCAATATTGGCATCTCCCAACCCACTATGTCGGTAATACTAACTGAAGTTACCTCTTTAATCGAGTGGAAGATTTGTCCCAAGCACATCAAATTTGATATTAGTGAAGAAGAGCAGAATAAAAGCAAAATAAATTTTTATAAGAGTGGATTTCCAGGTGTGGTGGGTTGTGTGGATGGCACTCATGTGCACATTTCAGCACCTGAAAAGGAGCTGCAACACCTATACATAAACAGAAAAGGATTTTTCAGTATAAACGCGTTAATGGTAAGTTAGTTTTCGTATGTTTATTTTGGATACACACAAATTCCTTATTACCTAGGTTTGCGATTTCAATATGAACATAACTTATGTCGATGCCACGCCACGCATGATTCCTTCATATGGAATAATATTACGCTCAAGGAAATTATCTCGAATATCACAGGAGAAAATACATGGCTTTTAGGTGATATTTTGAAGCACAATCTGTAGGAAGATTCTGTATCCAGTTAGCAACAATTTTCGGATCGATATAGCAAGTTGCTGACGTGTGATGAATCTCGACAAGTTGCGATAGCGATCCGAAAACTGGTTCCACAATCTGCCTACTTCTAAAAGTATTAACAAATGTATTTGTTGCTGTAGGTGATGCTGGGTTTCCGTTGGAGACATATCTGATGACTCCATTTCGAGTCGCAGTAAGTGGTAGTCCAGAAAGCAAATACAACAAAGTACACTGCAAGGCGAGAAACATTATAGAACGGACTTTTGGCGTTTTAAAATCAAAATTTAGATGCCTATCTTCTGAGCGCGGACTTCACTATGCACCACAGAAGGCAACTGCCATCATAAATTCGTGTTGTGCCGTTTACAATATTGGACGTCGCTTTGATTCACGTTTTGAAGAACCCAGTATAGAAGCCGAGACTATAGAGACAGATTTAAATTCTGATTTTGAAACAAACAGCCATAATATTCTAGCACAAGAAATAAGAAATAACTTGATGAATTCTTTCATACAATAAAATCTCTTTATTGATATAAAAAAGCAACAAAAATAGTTCACATTTAACTAAGCAAAAAATATGTATTCATATGAATAAAAAAGCACTATTTCATTTGTACCTACTATAAAAAGCATCTGAAGTATTTAAAATACTATAAAATAAATTCAAGTTGAGTTCTTCTCGTTCCTTACGTTACTTGGTGCGATTTATAATCCGCCCAAACAATGCTCTTAAATATAGAATCATTAAAATTGAGATCACTTTCTTACATATTATTTAATTGGTATTCTATAAGTTGAATTTTCTTTCTTTTAAGTTCCGCCTCTAGATTCATATTTTCTTTTAATAGTTCAAATTTTTCTTTTTTTAAATTGTGATTTTTTTCAGCATATTTGCTCATTTTGTATGTATTTTTTTCTATTCTTTTTAAATTTTGTGCTATATCTGAGTTATTTAAAGTTTGCGACTTTAGATGTCCACTTTAATTTCTTCAGTACTTTTTTTGATTTTTTTGTTTTAACAGTTGCCGATATATTTGGCGAAGAACTGCATGAAGGCTCTTCGTTTTGTTCGTCTTCGTCCATTTCTACAATGCCAAACACTTTGCCGGGTGGATTTACGCTTACGTCTGTGTGTAAAATATCTGCCACCACTTGCTCGAGTGCAGATAACGTTTGCTCCTCTGATGGGCCTCCACCAGTCGTTCTTATGTTTCGATTATTTGCACTCAATTTCTTCTTTGTTTTGGCCTTGTAGTTAATCCATACCTACACAAATGTATACATCCATGAAAATGCTTATTGCAGTATGTTTATTGTAAAAATTACCCGCTGTCATTCTTTTCCAGATCTATTTGGAGGGCCGAAACTATTGATCTCAGCAGCAAAAGCGTCCCATTGTTCATCGTTTTGGATTTTACTTTGTTCAAATGTGCGAGTTCCTCTTGCAATTCCTGGGTTGCGTAATTGCACTAAACGCTCAAATTGCTTGCTGTTCGTAATTTTCACTGGCCTGGAGAAATATCAAACTGTTAATTATAAATCAATATAAATAGAATTAGCATATAATTACAATTTTCTGCCGTAATCAGAAATTATTTCAGCTTTTCCTTCCAAAATGCGCAAAATATAACAATGACATCTGATGGTGATCAGTTGTTTCAATTTGACGTTTGTGTATACTATAAAAAGAGTTGGTAGCCATACATAATACACAAAATTGCGCTACCAGACTCAGTAGCCTTGTCAGTAGCCGTCATGCGAGTTGCCATACGTAATGCGAATTTCAGTCTACGGTTGCCCATCGGCTATCAGTCGCCATACATACTAGGGCCATAAGTTTACAACGGGAAAAATAAGATGGCATCGGGTCATCAAAGTTAAGGGAACTTAACGCAAAACGAACAAATTTTCTCTGCACTCTTTCGAGTCTGGCGGCATGACAGCCGTAAATGGGGTTCCATATAATAGAAGCGTACTCCAGTTTTGATCGTACTAAAGAGATAAATAAAGCTTTCCTGGTGTATGGAACCTTAAAGTCTTTCGCATATCTACGCAGGAAAGCTAGGTTACTGTAGGCTTTTGGAAGCAGTAAGAGATATGATTGACAAACGAAAAATTTGTGTCAAAGACTACCTCTAAGTCAACAAACTCTTTCACAGAGGCCAAGCGAGTGCTAGAAATATTGTAATTAGAAAAAATAATGTTTGAAGATTTTGAGAAGGACATATGAAAACATTTATTTACATTTAAGTGAAGCTTGTTCGTATGACACCAACTGACCAGGGTACTCAGGTCGTACTGCAGAGAAGAAACATCCGACGAGTCATAACTCTACGAAAGAGTTTGAGGTCATCTGCATAGAGTAAAAACCTGGAAAATTTGAAACAGGAGCCGATGTCATTTATAAAAAGGACGAACAAAAGTGGTCCGAGGATACTGCCTTGGGGAACACCTGAAGTTGCCCTAAAATAGTGCGATTTACAGTTTTCGACTTCAACAAACAAGGTCCTATTAGACAGATAAGATTTTAACCATTGTAGGAAGGCAGAATGAAAGCCGATAGACTCAAGTTTATGTATTAAGATTGCGTGAGGCACTTTATCAAAGGCCTTCGAGAAAGATGCCAAGTTAGTAACAGTAGAACGCCCGACAACAAACCCGTGTTGGTGCGGCTCAACAATGCTCTTGGTAACGAAAGATAATTTCTCCTTTATAATTTTTTCGAATAGCTAAGAACAAACTGTGAGTTTAGCAATAGGCCTATAATTAGCGATGTTATTTTTATTGCCAGATTTGAATACTGGAGTAATTGATGTAATCTTCCATCTATCAATAAATGTGCCAGAAGACAGAGACAAATTAAATGTATGACATAAAGGAACACAAAAAGATGAACTGCAATGCGACATAACATAGGCACAGAGCCAATCACTGTCGCATTTTAGCGAAGGTTTAAGCGTGGACATAGAAGTGCTAACATCCAAATCTGTGATTGTGAGGGAACCAAAGTCAATGTCTTCTGATAATTTCGAGCGAGCGTGAGAGTTATTCGGGTTATCAGCCTCACTATCAAAGTTTGATTTGAAGAACTCAGCAAAGAATTCAACTGTGTCAGGCAAAGATTGAGAGAATTTACCATTAAGGCACATACAAGTCGGTATGTTGGAAGACCCACGCTTAGAGCGAATAAAATTCCAAAAACCCTTAGGATTTACTTTTAGCTCAGCTTCCAGTTTACCAATATAACGATTATAAAGAAACTTATCCAGCACATTAAATTGATTCACATAATTCATATATTGATCCCTGAGAACAGCATTCGCAGTGTTCGCCTTATACAGTTTATGATATTTATTACGTTTATTCTTTAAATTTTTTAGAGTAGTGTTATACCATGGTAATTCATGAAGTCTAGGAGGAAGAGGAGGAACTTTAATGGAAAATACCTCTGTCAACTTAAACAAGAAAGCATCAAAACATAAGCTCACATCATTTGATGAAAGAATATTAGCGCAGTTAATATCGCTAACTGCATTATTTGCACAGAAGTTGGTAATCCGAAAATTAAAAGCGGAAGTGCACGAATGGCTCGGAATAGAGATTACATCAAAAAATTTTAAAGAAATAACAAGCGGAACGTAATGTTTGTCTGTCTTGTACAGAGGTAGATTAGTCTCAGAAAGGTTAAATATTAAATTTTCGTCTACAAATACTAGATCGAGCATCTTAGATAGCGTATTATATAAATAATTAAATTGAATAAGGTTACAGCTTAAGAGACTATCAATAAAATTCATTTCGTTAGATCGCATGACGTTAGTAGGTGTCAAAATACCGTTATTCTGTAAATCTATCCAGATAATATCAGGCAGGTTAAAATCACCAATAATACAAAAGGGGGAATCTATATTAGTATTAGTATTTTATAAGCTATCAGAGCTACTGGGTGGTATATATATTACGCAAATATATGTATGTAGTGGCAAAGCCATAACCGCTTACGCATAGCTGATCGATAAAAGAATCTCGATGCAAAAGTTGATAGGCTGAACAACGTAAGCAACGCTTTAGCGCGATTAACACACCACCATCTTTGAGGTGACCCGACTTCACAAAATCTCTATCCTTGCAGTACGTATTAAATAGTTTTGGATGGAAGTACTCTTCGTCGAAGAAGTCGCTATTGAGCCAAGTTTCACCGAATATAAAGACATCATAATCCATTCGAGATGATGCTAAGTAAATTTCCTTAGATTTCGTGTGCATACCACCCATGTTTTGGAAATAGATTTTCAAAGAAGAGTCACAGCAACTAGTTTCAGAATACATCGTGCCAGCTTTCCTTGTATGACTTAGATTCTTTCCGAAAAAAACCGAAAAGGTCGAACGTTTATATTAGACGGCCAGACATTAGGGTTAAGAATCTTGTCGTAGTAAGCTGTTGAGACACCGAGCTTGAAATTAACGCTTTCAAGAGAATCAACAGAGACACCTTCCTTTATAAGTTTATAACAGGCAAGATACTTGCTGTCGATACCAGCATATTTTGAAGCATATGAGATTATATTTTGTTCAGAGACGGTGTTCTTAAAAGAGGATAAATGTACCCACTGCTTTTTTTCGACTACTTCGAGTTCGGCATTTTCATTGCGACCATGTACAATATTTCTACTCCGGTGGGCACCATTACGACGCACAGTAATCCAGTCATTCGGACTAGCAGCAGCCATAGGAGAATTAGCAGCAACAGGCAGTGTACCAGTAGTAGACATATTAGAGAACTCACCATTTTATGAGCCAGTGTAGTACTAGAAGTCATGTTAGAAGCTACAGAAGTCGTTAACCTGTTATTGACAGCTGTAGCAGAGAAAGAATTCAGTGCAGATGTCGTTTGTAGTGTAGATCCAATGTTAACCGCAACTGGAATTGCAGCAGCGACTGTAGTGGTAGAAATGGCAGACGAATGTGATACCGCAGTTCCAGCATCACCAAAAGCAGAGTCGACATGTATTACAGGTAGCGTTTCTATTGCGTAAGGCTGCAAAGCAATGGCAGCAGCGTTAGTAGAAGCTGGAGAGCCAGAAGGCGGAGAGGCGGCGTCGGCCACTGAAGAAACGGAGAAACCAGTACCACTAATTTGCTTAATTGTGTGAGCGGCAGTTGCCATGACATTCGTCTGGTCAGCAGCAGAAAAACTCTGGTCGAGTGAATTGCCTGCGCGAGGGCACTTACAGTGAGAGGCATTTTGGGGAAGTTCACTAATCTCAGCGGAGAGCGATGCAAGGGCAACGAGTACATCTTCAGTGTGCAGTGTACGCAAGGCTATTAACTCAGCATGCAGTTTAGTGGTTTCATCGATTAAAAGTTTTTTGTCTGTATGGAGAGCACTAATCTCAGCGAATATACGAACTTGATCAGCTCTAATTGCTTTAAGCTCACTTAGAATAGTTGGTAGAATAGACAATTGTTGTTGCGATTCTTTAGCACTGTTATGAGAAGCCGTAGACGATGACTTCGACAGCTGTTGTTGATGAA